TTCAAAAAGAAAAAACGTTCGTCTTGAAAAATTAAGTAAATATTTATTACAACTGACATTTTCACTTCTCAGAAAATTTAAATTATTAACTGTAACATGCATTAACCCATTATCGCCTGCAACCACTGAAACTTTGTGTTTAATGTATTTAAAATATAATTCATAATAGATCTTAGTATTTAATTATATGGTTTTGAGGTCGCTCATTACGAATCTACAATCGAAGTTTCAAAATACAAAATGGCGGATTTATTATGTCGGACAAGAATTTAAAAAATTTGTTCGATTTGCTTGATAATTGTTACTTAGAGGTTTTTGGGGTAGCTGATAACGAATCTGTAATAGGATTATCAAAATACAAAATATCGGATCCAATATGGCGAACATACATTTAACAATTGTCTTGAACATCTGTTTGAATCATTTAAAACTTGTTACCTGGCAATTAAACTTTTCCTATTTAACGTCAGAATGTTTTGTTTACGAAGGAGTTTTCAGTAGTTTTGTAGTTTGATGTCATTAATTTTCGAACATTCAATATTATTATTTGGATTATTGTGAATAGCACTTCTCAAAATTAATCGATCTGCATGCAACTTGATTCTCTAACATGTTATATTTTAAATTCAATTTTTGAGTGTTTGTATAGTCAATCTGATATCATTTTGTACAAGACAAATTAAAATTCCATTTGACAAAGGTACTTCTTTTATTTTAATATCAATGTAAATAATATTGTGTTTGGTGAACATTCCAGGTTATTACCTGTAATGTAAATACTAATAAATAGTAATCTAGTCAGGCGACTTGATTTGATTTTTAACCATTTTGTCCGACATACTGGATCCGAAATTTTGAATTTAAAAAATCTGATTACAGTTTCGTAATTAGCGACCCAAAAAACTCCTGAGTAACAAGTATCAAGCAAATCGAGTAAATCTGTTAAATATATGTTCGCCATATTGGATCCGACATTTTGTATTTTGATAATCCTATTACAGATTCGTTATCAGCTACCCCAAAAACCTCTAAGTAACAATTATCAAGCAAATCGAACAAATTTTTTAAATTCTTGTCCGACATAATAAATCCGCCATTTTGTATTTTGAAACTTCGATTATAGATTCGTAATGAGCGACCTCAAAAACATATAATTAAATACTAAGTTCTATTATGAATTATATTTTAAATAAATTAAACACAAAGTTTCAGTGGTTGCAGGCGATAATGGGTTAATGCATGTGTTACAGTTAATAATTTAAATTTTCTGAAAAGTGAAAATGTCAGTTGTAATAAATATTTACTTAATTTTTCAAGACGAACCGTAAAAGAGGCTAATTTCGCTGAATTTTTCAATTTTTTTTAAATAACTTCGGGAAACGATGAAAATAAACATTGGCACTGAAAATATATAATTTCTAACCCTTTCTCTTTTTTATTACTGCATAAAGAAATTAAAATATGTTGCAGAAAATTATTTATAAGCCGTTTTGTTGTGAGCGACTTTACCTTTAAATGAGGGTAAATTCGCTCACCATTATTATTCTGGCAGACTGGCAGAATATATTATAATCTGCAAAAATAAAACTAAATATTCTTTAGAATCAATAAAGAAAAAAATTAAGAACAATATCCAAAGTTTTCGGAATAAATATTTAATATTGTTTTATCAATAAGTAATTAAATTCAATCATTCAATCAAACGTACTCATAACCATAAAAAATAAGGTTAAGTTTGGCAGTTTAGTGCTTAAACCGTTTTAAATCGTTTAATTTATAGTTATAAGAGTACTATTATTAAAAAAAATCGAATTATAAATTAAAATAATTAACATACTTAAAATATTCAGGCCCAAACATCTTTTTTGTAGACTTATCTCCTGAGCGAATTTACACAACAAATTTGAATTTTTTTTTAAATTGATTTTTTGCAGAATCTATTTATTGCTTTCAGTTTTGTGCTTTATGAAAATCATGTTGGAGATACAGGAAATGTAATGTTCAGAAGGATTCAACTTAAAAATTTTGAAGTAAAGCTTTATTCACTATTTTTTCATACTAAGGGAAGTGTTCCGGTTGTGGGCACCCTTTTGTTTTTGCCTCATAACATTTGTCCATGTGCATATTATACAAATATATGTGTACGAATTTAAAGCTAAAGGTCTAAGGTGACTGTCAGTGAAGGAATTAAATTGATTCCTTTAAATAAAAAAGTTTTATTAGAAATTTAGTGAAATGGGAATTTTTTGACAAAAAAAATTTTGTACCCGGTTGTGGGCACCCTTGAAAAATCCGCTAAAAATGGAAAAATATTAAAGGAAACCAACACAAATAAAGAAGAAATGAAAGTTTCTTTATTTTAAGAGAATTTGCTGGGATAAAGAACAAAAATGATGACACGTTTTCACACTATGCTCATAGCTAACAAAAGCATAATGCTTGCATGTGAAGTAGCTAGTACTCATAACATAACGCACTTCTAATGCACTGAACGACTATATTCATCGCATTTAATGGAGTTTGCGGCTGTCACTTTCCTTGGCAGAAAGTTTAGACAGATGAGACAGTAGTCCTCATCATTGTCAGATGGTAGAGCCTCCTTAACATAAAGGTGCCCACAACCGGGAATGACAGTCATTTTTTAAAAAGACCAACACATTTTGTGATGCAGGATTTTGGTTAAACACGAAGGTAAATCACAAAATATAATAACAACACTGCAAAAAAAAAATTAAACCCTTTTTTTCTGAACGAATCTACACCCATATGTTGCTCTTCGAAAACAATACAAAATTACTTTTTTATTTATTTAATGCAAATTTTCTTTATTATGCTCACAGCTATTACACAAATGCATATATTTGTTTCGTTATCAATACGAAAAGTCCGTATTGTCAACGAACACGACTTGCAATACTTAGATCAGTAAAGTCTGCTTGCCGTCGAAGTTTACGTAGGGGTGCCCACAACCGGCGCACTTCCCCTACTTGTTCAATATGAAAATTATTCACTTGTGTTTTAAATATAATTTCTACTGAAAGTTACCAATGAATTTGCTGCAAATAAATTTTAAATTAAAGTTTAGCATTTATATTAACCAAAACAATTGTAAATCTTAAATATTTCTGTCTAAAAAGTATGTTAATCGAATTTTAAAAAATACATATCTGTTGAGCGAATTTACCCTACATGAGCGAAATTAGCCTCACTTACGGAACGGTTTTTCTTTTTGAAATTTTGTTGTATATTGTAAAGGTAGCAAAAAAACTTCTAATTTTCATTTTTGAAAAAAAAATTTATTTCTCTTTAAGTCGCGGGACCCCGATAAATTCTGTTGGAAAATAATCGTTAGACTTCCAGGAAGTAATAAAAAAATCGAGAGGAAAAAAAACGCTGGGGTTTATGAGAAAATTTGATTTGATTTTTTTCGAAAAATAGCCGCCATTTTGTTAAATTTAAAATTTTTTTAATTAAACCTGTGGGATTTCAAAGAACATTTAATCCGAAAATTAGGGATAAAAAGAATCATTACATTATAGGCAGATACAAGAAAGATACAATAATTTTAATATTTTTTACCGTCATTTTCTTGAAATCAGACTTCGCAGTTTTAAAAATTCAAATGCGCCTAACTTCGTTAAATATTTTTTTTTTTTTGCAAAACGGCAAAATACTTGTCGTCTAAAATTGTGTGAAAAATAATATATTTCCATAAAAAACGATAATTTGACTTACATACATATAGCCTGTCTGAATTGAAATGGAATCAACCATGTGTTTTATGTATATGTGTGAGTATACATGTGTATGTTTTATGTATATATGTGTGAGTATACATGTGCATATGTTTTATGTATATGTGTGAGTATACATGTGTTAAAATTGTTACTAAAAGATTGTTACTAAAAGATATATGCGGTGAGGGTCGTCGATCGGTCGTTCGATCTTCAACTTAATACAATAGAAAGGATATAATTATTGAGGAAACTGCTCATTATCGGTTTATGTAATATTTCTAAAATTCAAGGGTGCTCCTTCCCTTTCACATAAACTCTTATGGTTGAAGCTTCATAAATTGAGGCTTAATAGTAAGATGAACATTCACTTATATTGCACTATAATGATACGTCTCTGAATATTAATAAAACCTCGCAATTAGTATTTTGATGTATGCCCCCGATGATATGGATTCTACCCGAGTTAAAATTTAGATCCTCTTTTTCTAAACCTCTTTTGAACCTGAAAACAATGCGGAAAAATCCACATTCCGATGTTTAGAGGTTGAAAAAGAGGATTTCAAATTTTTGTGAAATTTAAATTATTTAAATATCTATCTATGCTAATAGATTTATTGAAATCATTTAAAAACTATTATTTGCATCTTCTATAGGGCAATTAAAATATAACTCTGTGAAAAAATTCCAATTTTAGTTTTCGAAATATTTAAAAAAATCTTTTTAAAGAAAAAAACCAAAGAGGTTTTTGGAGATCTAAAAGAGGGTATAAATTTTGACTCTGGTAAACTTTTAGATCTCATTGAACGTACGCAACTCACATTTTTAAAGAAATTACATTCCCTTTCAGCTGATACCTACTCCCCCATATATGTTTTGATAATCGAAACTGTATCACTTCATCTATTTTGAATGATGCTAAAAAATATTTTATCCTCGATAATAAAGATCTCTAAAATGGACAATTCACGTTCCTCTAAGCTTTGTTTGGATAAACTAAGAAGTTTGGCTCCCAATAACCTGACTAATAAATTCAATTAGGTTAACTAAAATTGATGGTTTTTTGGCACCCTAACATTTCGGAATCTACTCCAGATTAAATTTAAGATTGAGATATAAAAACTTTTAAGTTTGAAATTGTATAAAATTTAATTAACTTAATTGAAAGTTAAATTTCATTAGGTATCAAATATGATACCTAATAAAATTTAATTCAAGAAATTATAGTTTGAAAGTAATTAATAAAAACTAATATTAATTACTTACGTGTACGCCTCGTAATCACCAGTGTTGATGCTCTCAATTAGCTGTTCAGTCATCTTGATGATTTCTTGACGGCGAGCTGTAATTTTTAACACATCAGAATCAGTAACCAGTTCAATTTGTTCAGAGGGCTCATTGAGTTTATTTCGAAACATCTCACAGCACAACAGCCACATGCACGAATCTTTAATACCTACTTCCTAATCAAGTAATTTTATAAACATTTTTTTTTAATATATCTTATCTAATTTACCGAAACCGACCGATAATTTTAATTCATTAATTTATTCTTAATAAAAATTACAATTATTTTTTTGTTTCAGTCTCCTCTTTTATATATAATTCTACTCCATTTTTTCCCTACGAATTTATTGATTTAAATTAGAAATAAATATTTAAATAGAAACAAAAACTGTAATAGTTTTTCGAGTAAACCCGACAAAACGAATTTATTATTATTTTTAGCCCCATTGGCGTTAATTTTTAGAATCATGAAAACATATTTTGTCAAAAATTTAAATAGGTTCCCGAGGACTTGTATTTTAAATAATGACGATAATAATACTCGAAAATTATGATTTTACTCTCAAGAAACAAAAGTCCCGTGCTTAAAATTTATTGTTCTAAATAAGATTTATAGAAACTGGATTTTAAAAATAACTTTAGATAATTATGAAGATTTTGAAGAAAATAGAAAAGAAATATAATTACAGAGAATTAGTTATAATACCTATTAATTGCAAATTTATGAAACTCCATAATTTCTCTATTACAAATAATATTTTTTAAAGTTGAACGTCAATATTTATGTACACGTGGAAACGATAATTTTTTCCTGACTTCGCATATTCCTGGCATTAACGTTCTCGATAACAAATAATAATTTTCAAGTCACCAAGAAAAGTGATTATTTATATAATAAGAAATTATTTTCCAATCGATATTGCACTTTAACTATTATTATTCTACCAATAAAATAAAGCAATTAATTTTCTAAATAGTAATTTGACATTTTATGAAAATATTAAATTAAGGATTAAAATTCCAAATGAAAGTATAATAAATATTGTTCTTATAATTTACTAACGTCAATCCATTTCATATTTTGGTATAAAGAAACAATAAATTATTGACACTAATAATTAATTTCTATTTTTCACTGTATGCGGTTGTAATAACTTTAATTGAAAATCAATTTCAATCAATGAAATTGTACGTAATTAGTCGAAATATCAACGTGAATAGTGTGACCACCACCATTTTCTAACACCACTGTCGATTTTCTATCACCACGATAGTTTTCTTTTATTTTTCAATACCGTTTAAATGTTTGTTTGCCTGATCGTAAAAACTAGCTGATTGGTTATAGATATTTAACCTAGTGTTCATGGCGTCTCTAATAGGTATCGCTATCAAAAACCGGTCGTTAATTTTTTATCAACTATTGGTCAAGTTGACCCGATTTTTATTTAACTGGAAAATTCACATGCAAACTTATCGGATCAAATTTTCCTTATATAAACATATTTTTCTTTTTAACTCATATTGTTTTAATCGCGAGTTGTAAACTTATTAAATTAAACCATTTCTTACGAATACTGCATTAAAAATTATCTTTAAAAAAATGGAACTAAAATGATTGTAATTTAATTAATCTTATGCTTTTCAATAATAACGAGGACCTCTAAGAAATATAATTAAATTGAAAGGAAAAAATAATTTAATTTTTAAGGAAAAACTATTTATGTGCTTTCTCTATTTAAAAATAAGTTTCCAAACAAATTTAAATCGATATTTGCAGAAATATTATTGTTTGTTTCTTTTTCATTTTGAATATCGCAATTACCTGAGCTCTGTGAATTCGTTGAAAGTTGACTGCAGGTCTTGATAGGACAGACGACTCTTAAGTCTACAAGCATATTACCCTTTTTAATTAAACGCGCAACTAAAATTTTTTTACCATTTAAATTTTTACAACACTCGGAAAAGCAATGCTAAATTCCCATGAGAATTACGGTACTACAAATTATTTCGTATTACCAATTATTATTTAATTTAAAACTACCCACATAGTACATAATATTACCTGAATATTTCAGAAATTTTACAATGAGGTTTTGCTCCAAATATAAAGTTACAAATTACGGCAATATTGCAGTCAATAATTGTTTAATTAATAATAAGTTTAAAAATGAAGAAATTTTATACCTAATTCGAGGATTAACATATGTGACACTTCACGGGAAAGGGACCTTAAGGGCCGTTTATAAACTACGTCACACTATTTTGCATAATTTTTCCACCCCCCCTACCCACGTCACAAATTTTACATGCTTTAGCGCCATTTTTTCTACAGAACGTCACAAAAAATTAATTCCACCACCCCCTCTAAGGCGTGACGTAGTTTATGAACGGCCCCTTAGGTGACAAAGTATTAGGCTCAGTCTTCCATGCGCAGTGCACGAATATTGAACCTGATGCTTTTGTCGCGTAAGGTCCTTTTACCTTGAAGCCGTATACATATGTGCATCCTGCGGCGTAAAAATAATTTTCGTGCAATAATAGTATATAATTCTCCTCCGTTGGATGTCCTCTGTCGAAAATCTTGTATATTCTTACACCTTGTCATGGTGCGGGGTTTTACATTAAAGGATTCCCAAACAGCAAGAATAAATGGATTCTACAAATTCAGAGAATGTACTCCATGTGATCAGACAGGAAAAAAGAAATCTCATCTTTAATCCTAGGTCTGGTAGTCAAGTCAAGGAGTCCTTCGTTGAAGGAGAAAAAATGAGGAGAGGAAGCGCCTAGAGCTTTCTGAGTGTGATGAGTGTGACATTCAGCAGGGCGTGGATGATGCCGCCACCGATGAGTCAGACTTTAATTTAGCAAGCGTTATCAGCGGTGTGGAGTGTAACCGTAAAAACCGGAGCGCCACATTAAGCGGTAGTTAAGTAGTTTCGGCAGTCCAAAGGAGACTCAAGCCTTAACTACTAGGCGAAAAAAGAAGGAAACACTCCTAAAGAAAGAGGCCATAAATGCGACGGAAACACCAAAGCCAGAATGTTCAACATTAGAAAAAATGCAACAAGGGGATCGACAATGGTCATCCGCGTGGATCAGGGTCAGACATATGCTGTGGTTTCACGTAAGCTTCGGACGCCAGCCGCACAAGAGTCGTCGCTACAAGGGCTACAAAAAAGGGAGACATCCTGATTAAAATAGGAGGCGACTCCAGTAATTAGGCCTTCACTGCGGAGGTTACTAAAGCGTTAGAAGGTATTTGTAATAATGTACAGTCTCTGCATCGAAGGGTAACGCTGGAGTTCCGCAAATTGTATTATCTTACTCAAGTAGAAGAGGTTCAACAAGTGTTGGCAGATGTTCTAAAGAAGCCAGGAAGCAGTAAAGTGATGCTCCTTGGATCAATCCGAAAAGAGATTAAGCTTGCGGTTGTAGTCACCGACCTAGATGAGGCGAAAAGGCTGCAGAAATTGGGACATTGGCTTTATGACGTCCCCAATTAGAAAGAGAGTAATGGACCTTGATTACGGTCACAAAGGAAGAGATTGTAAGGCTGTGGACAAATCGACTGCGTGCTTCAGATACGGAGAAGTCAAACATAAGTTCGGAAACTTTAAGAGAAGCGATAAGGCGATAAATACGGAAGAATACGGCGATAAGGTAAATGTGAACCATATTGCCAGCAGTGGAGTTTACTTACATAAATGTAAATCATTCAATAAATGGTACAAAAAATGTCTTGAATATTTTATAAATGTGACGCGATATGAAGAAAAGGACCTAAGAAGCCGAAAATTACACAGCCACACAAAAGAAAAGTTCTGATCTGGGGGTCTCACTATGTAGACTTTATGTTTTTTGGGTCGCTGAATCCGAATCCGAGGTCCATTTAACCAATATGGCGGACACGTTTTTGAAAAGTACATCGGATTCGCTTGAAATTCGTTACTCGGGGGTTTTTGGGATCGCTGATTACGAATTTGAAGTCTGATTTCAAAAATTCAAAATGGCGGATCCAATATGGCGAACACGTTTTTGAAAAATTCATCGGATTCGCTTATAACTCGTTACTCGGGAGTTTTTGGGGTCGCTGATTACGAATTTGATGTCAGATTTCAAAAAATCAAAATGGCGGATCCAATATGACGGACACATTTTTGAAAAATTCATCGGATTCGCTTGAAACTCGTTACTCGGGGTTTTTTTTTCCGCTATCCGGCTAAGTTGTTGGTTAATAGCTTTGATGCCCCGTCATGGCAGACACACGCAGAAAACGTGCTACGATGCAGGGACTCGGAACCCCAGTATCGTCGGTAACGAGTTTCAAGCGAATCCGATGAATTTCTCAAAAACGTGTCCCCCATATTGGATCCGCCATTTTGAATTTTTGAAATCAGACTTCAAATTCGTAATCAGCGACCCCAAAAACCCCCGAATAACGAATTTCAAGCAAATCCGATGAACTTTTCAAAAACGTGTCCGCCATATTGGTTTTTTGAGGTTATGTCAAAATCCTGATCTGATGGGGTTAAATGGACCTCGGATTCGGATTCAGCGACCCAAAAAACATAAAGTCTACATAGTGACCCCCAGATCAGAACTTTTTTTTTTGTGTGGCTGTGTTATAGATCATGTTTTAAAAGTGTGAATTGAAAATAAACAAAGAGAATCAACTTTTAATGCAAGTCAATGATGTTTAAGTATTTATTACATCTAAAATATTCAATAATCTCTTATTTTAATTTTAAAAAAACTTTTAATCAAGGTAATTGTGCCGTAAACATAACCTATAATTCGTTTTCTTCTTAGGTCCCTTTCTTCAGATAGCGTCACAAATATTTTGTTAAATAATGAAATCACAGTAAAATTATTTAAAATTATTTTCTTTACGCTTTTAAAAAGATTTAATTGTTGACTACTGATTAGATTAATTGGAAAATTGGAATCTATTTTCAGGTTAATTAAACTCTTTCCGCTTTAATAATTCTTCTTCAAAATAATCTAACACCAAAAGCCTATAATTATCGTTCATAAAGATAAAAATTAAATTTTCCT